ACCACCCAGTAGCTGCAGTTAAACGCAGCTTAATTGACTATACCGGGTGGCCACGGCTACGCATACTGAACACTGGATGGCAGCAGTCTGAAGTTCACACGCGGCCGGTTCATTCACGGATTTACTGAATTAACTCATTTAACCCAGAGAGCTATGCCATGGAGCCTATTCGTGTAATAAAAGACTTTGGCTCCATGGCAATTGAACTGTATGTATGTGGTCTGAGCACCATTCAGTAATAATGTGCACTCAGACCTAAGCTATCTGGAGATATGTTGCATGTCTCTATTTTATGTATTAAATGTAACCTTGTGTATTTTATTGTATTTTACTGTCTTTTTAGTGCCATGTGCTCAATGGAGTTTTGCCTCTGTCCTCGGAGATAAAACCACCTGTGGGTGGGACTTTGTCTGTAAAATGTGTATATAAGGCCAATAAAGACACAGCTCAGTCTGTTCCTGCTTGACCCCTTAAAACGGAGCCTTGTCTTGTTCTTGGGGGGGATTTATTGTATGCTGTTCCAGTTCAACTGCTAGGAGTGTAAACCTTTTCGTATGGTTTTTGCTATTCGGCTGTTTACAGCATTCATATGTTTGAGAGCATTCGTATGCTTCTCCAGTTTTGTGGATTGGTGTCTACAGTAGCTGCCTGAATATCTGGAAGGGAATATCTCCTAAACGGCTGTTAACCCCTTTTATGCCGGGGTGCCCTCTGAGTCGTCACTCAGACAGCCACTAAAGGTGCTTCCAGGGTCAGTACTGCACATTGTGCAGCACTGATGTTCAGCATCCCCATGCTCTGTATGGAGATGCTGAACATTTCTCATAGAGATACATTGATTCATTTCTCATAGAGATGCATTTGATTTGCAGTGCAAGAGCAATAGTGTCCCAATGCTTTCCTGTTTTATGATCTTAGCCAAGGAGGCAGAACAGGGTGTGGAGCCAGCCACGACAGACCTGCGTGACACTGGAAAAATGGGGGTAAGCTGGATCAGTCCCTAAATGGCAATCTTAGAGCTATAGTGTCATGAACACAAGTTTGTATTCTTGACACTATAGGGTTCCTTTAATATGTATGTGAACAGGTTGTTGATCCAAGTTGAAGCCTGATTGCAATTATGAAGTCAAGGATTTTTTTTCCTGGTTTGGCATTATTAGAAATTGGCCTCACATCCAGTATGTTGAAAAAATCCTGTAGATTCCAACTTAAAAACATAGCCTGCATCCGCCCTTCTTACGAAAGATGCTACCAAGGAGCTTGTCCATGCTCTAGTAATTTCCCGCATGGATTATTGTAACCCTCTCCTGATTGGTCTTACCAAAAGCCATATTACTCCGCTACAGTCTGTAATGAATGCTGCTGCCAGACTGAGTTTCCTCTCTAGTCGGTCCTCTCACACTTCACCCCTCTGTCAGTCCTTACATTGGCTTCCTGTATCCTATAGGAGTCAATTCAAAGTGCTAACCCATACATATAAAGCACTGAACAATTCTAGCACCTCTTATATCTCTTCACAGATCCATAGGTATGCCCCTTCTCGGTCCATCCACTCTGCCCATGACCTTCCACGGTCCGCTGCTCGCACCCGTATGGCCAACTCGCACTTGCAGGACTTCTCGCGGGCGACTGCCTTCCTATGGAATAGCCTGCCTACCCCCATCAGACTCTCCCCTACTCTTCAATTGTTTAAGAAGTGCCTTAAAACCTGTCTCTTTAGGAAAGCTTATGGCCTCCCAGAGTAACCTCTACCTTACATACCTGTCTCTTGCTCTCTCCCAAAGGGAAGCACTCTACTTCACTCCCACCTTATTTGATGAATATTTCCTGTCCTAATGTGTTTTATACCCCCCACCTCCTATATGTAATCTCGTTTGAAAACCTAATTAGGATTTCTTTGCTTCATTTCTTTATTAAAGGATCAAATTCAGGGCACAAATACGTATTCTTTAGAATTAACTGAAAATAGAGTTTTATCATAAAGTTTAAGTTAGTAAAATATTATATGGTTTCCCTTTCCACCTTGTTATATTTTTTTAGATTCAAAGACCCTTTCTTAAGCAGAGACAACCTTCTGTTGGTAGGTAATTTCCAAACAGTATTTATGTTAGATAGGTTAATTTCAAAAGGCCCCCTCAATTTGTGAACAGAAAGGGAAACAAAAGACTCCACAGCAGGGCAAAAGTGGCACCTGGGCATAATGTAAATGAGGTAACAGTACAGGCCCAATTACCAGATAAAAAATATCACAATCTGACTGAGAGCAGGAACCCGGGAAAATCAAAACAAAGAAAACCCCCCGTGACAAACACTCCTTCCTGTTTGCCATGAACTCCTGGAGGAGTGTGGAAGCTGGCCTCCTGCACATCGACTATGGTCCAGGTCTGAGACCCTGTTTGAAAATTACCCTGCACAGCCACCATTAGCAGCTTTCCGTGGGTGCCCCTGGTTCGGCACTTTCCCTTCATTCAAATGGAACCGGATGCTAGCTCCCTGGCAAGCATTCGAATGAACCAAACCCACCAATGGTCCTCAGCGGTACTTAGCCACGACTGATATGGAACTAATTTCAGGATGAGAAGTTTGTGGGTTACCGGTAGTGATGTACCGAACGGTTCGCCGGCGAACGGTTCCTGGCGAACATAGCATGTTCGCGTTCGCCACGGCGGGCGAACATATGCGCGGTTCGACCCGCCCCCTATTCGTCATCATTGAGTAAACTTTGACCCTGTACCTCACAGTCAGCAGACACATTCCAGCCAATTAGCAGCACACCCTCCCTAGCAGACCCTCCCACCTACTGGACAGCATCCATTTTAGATTCATTCTCAAGCTGCATGCTTAGTAAGAGGAGGGAAAGTGTAGCTGCTGTTCATAAGATAGGGAAAAGCATAGCTAGGTTAGGGATAAGGGTATGCTTTTTTGGATTTTTTTTTTCTATCTAATGTAAATGCACTTAGTTGTCTGCCACTGCTGCCAGCTTCTGTGTCAGGCTCACAGTGCCCATTTCCCCAGTCAGTGCCACCAATTACATCTGGTGTCACAATAGCTTGGATTTAAAAACAAAAAACTTTTTTCACTGTTATAGATTGAATAGCAGTCAGTTGTCTGCCACTGCTGCCAGCTTCTGTGTCAGGCTCACAGTGCATACTGTGCCCATTTCCCCAGTCAGTGCCACCAAATACATCTGGTGTCACAATAGCTTGGATTTAAAAAAAAAAACTTTTTTCACTGTTATAGATTGAATAGCAGTCAGTTGTCTGCCACTGCTGCCAGCTTCTGTGTCAGGCTCACAGTGGATACTGTGCCTATTTGCCCAGTCAGTGCCACCACTCATATCTGGTGTCACAATAGCTTGCATTTAAAAACAAAAAACTTTTTTCACTGTTATAGATTGAATGGCAGTCAGTGTCCTTAAAGCGGGTGTGTTACGCTAACAGTGGATACGCTGACAAGTGCCACTAATTAGATCTGGTGTCACAATAGTTTGGATTTAAAAAAAAAATAATCTTTTTTCACTGTTATAGATTGAATAGCAGTCAGTGTCCTTAAAGCGGGTGTGTTACGCTAACAGTGGATAAGCTGACAAGTGCCACTAATTAGATCCTGTGTCACAATAGTTTTGATTTAAAAAAAATAATAATCTTTTTTCACTGTTATAGATTGAATAGCAGTCAGTGTCCTTAAAGCGGGTGTGTTACGCTAACAGTGGATACGCTGACCAGTGCCACCAATTAGATCTGGTGTCACAATAGCTTGGATTTAAAAAAACAAAAACTTTTTTCACTGTTATAGATTGAATAGCAGTTAGTTATCTTCAAGCGGGTGTCAGGCCTACAGCCTGTGCTCTGCACAACTGTGCCAGTGCACATTGCCACTCATATCTGGTCTCACAGTAGCTTGCACGCATAGTACCACTAATCCCAACAAAAATGACAGGCAGAGGCAGGCCACCCCGCAGGGGCCATCGTGGTCGTGGTGCTGTGATTCCCTTTGGCCCTAGAATAATGCCCAGTTTTCAGAGGCCACGTACCCTGAACTTGAAAAGTTCTGAGGACATAGTTGACTGGCTAACACAGGACACCCAATCTTCTACAGCCTCCGCTCAGAACCTTGACGCACCATCCTCCTCCAGCTTAGCTTCAGGCACCTCTCAAGATACCACTCACCCGCCTGCCGCCACCACCAAAACTAGCACCACAGCCGCTTCAGTTGGTATGTCAGAGGAGTTATTCACACATCCGTTTGAAGAAATGAGTGATGCGCAACCATTATTGCCAGAGGATGTAGATAACAGGGATATGTCTCAGGCAGGCAGCATTACACACATGGACGTACGGTGTGATGATGATGATGATGTTGTACCCGCTGCTGCTTCCTTTGCTGAGTTGTCAGATACAAGTGAAGCGGTTGATGATGACGATGCGTCCATGGATGTCACGTGGGTGCCCGCTCGTCAAGAAGAAGAACAGGGCAAAGTTCAGATGGGGAGACAGGGAGGAGGAGGAGACGAGTTGGAAGCAGGGGGAGGTCGTCGCAAGGAGCTAGTGGCACAGTCAGACAGCATGCATCGACACCCGGGGTCAGCCCGACAGCACGCCAATCAACGCATGCTGTGTCCACCACCAGAATGCCGTCATTGCAGAGCTCAGCAGTGTGGAATTTTTTTTGTGTGTCTGCCTCTGACAACAGCGATGCCATTTGCAACCTGTGCCAAAAGAAACTGAGTCGTGGGAAGTCCAACACCCACCTAGGTACAACTGCTTTGCGTAGGCACATGATCTCACATCACAAACGCCTATGGGATCAACACATGAGTACAAGCAGCTCGCCTACTCTAAGCCGCCAGCCTCCTCCTGGTCCAGCATCTTCAGCCACGTCAACCACTGCTGTCCTCCTTGTCCCCTCTCAACCATCCGCCACTCCGCCTCCCGCCTTGAGCAGTTCACGCTCATCTTCCCACAGTCATGTGTCTGTCAAGGACATGTTTGAGCGTAAGAAGACAATGTCAGAAAGTCACCCCCTTGCCCAGCGTCTGACTGCTGGCTTGTCCGAACTATTAGCCCGCCAGCTTTTACCATACAAGCTGGTGGAGTCTGAGGCGTTCAAAAAATTTGTAGCTATTGGGACACCGCAGTGGAAGGTACCCGGCCGAAATTACTTTTCACAAAAGGCAATCCCCAACCTGTACTCAATTGTGCAAAAGGAAGTAATAGCATCTCTGGCACACAGTGTTGGGGCAAGGGTCCATCTGACCACTGATACCTGGTCTGCAAAGCATGGTCAGGGCAGGTATATCACCTACACTGCGCATTGGGTAAACCTGCTGACTGCTGCCAAGCATGGAATGCATGGCTCTGCAGAGGAGTTGGTGACACCGCCACGACTTGCAGGCAGTCCTGCTGCCACCTCCTCTACTCCTCCTACTCCATCCTCTTCCATAACCTCCTCGGCTGAGTCCTCTTCTGCTGCTGCGTCTTGCTCCACATCAACGGCACCCCCCCAGCTCCCCAGGTACTATTCCACATCCCGGATACGGCAGTGTCACGCCGTCTTGGGTTTGACTTGCTTGAAAGCAGAGAGTCACACCGGACAAGCACTCCTGTCCGCCATGAACGCACAGGTGGAAAAGTGGCTGACTCCGCAGCGACTGGATATCGGCAAAGTGGTTTGTGACAACTGAACAAATTTGTTAGCGGCATTGAAGTTGGGCAAGTTGGCACATGTGCAGGGCATGGCACATGTGTGTAATCTGATCGTACAACGCTTTGTGCATAAGTACACAGGCTTACAGGACGTCCTGAAGCAGGCCAGGAAGGTGTGTGGCCATTTCAGGCGTTCCTACACGGCCATGGCTCACTTTGCCGATATCTAACGGCGAAACAACATGCCAGTGAGGCGCTTGATTTGCGACAGCCCGACACGTTGGAATTCAACACTCCTAATGTTCGACCGCCTGCTCCAACAAGAAAAAGCCATTAATGAATATTTGTATGACCGGGGTGCTAGGATAGCCTCTGGGGAGCTGGGAATTTTTTTGCCACGTTACTGGACGCTCATGCGCAATGCCTGTAGGCTCATGCGTCCTTTTGAGGAGGTGACAAATTTAGTCAGTCGCACGAAGGCACCATCAGTGACATCATACCATTTGTTTTCTTCCTGGAGCGTGCCCTGCGAAGAGTGCTGGATCAGGCCGTAGATGAGCGTGAAGAGGAAGAGGAAGAGTTGTGGTCACCATCACCACCAGAACCAGCCTTGCTGGACCTGCGGCAATGCTGGAAGAGGATTGTGAGGAAGAGGAGTCAGAGGAGGAATGTGGCTTTGAGGAGGGAGGAGCAAGACCAACCACAACAGGCATCCCAGGGTGCTCGTTGTCACCTATCTGGTACCCGTGGTGTTGTGCGTGGCTGGGGGGAAGAAAATACCTTCATTGACATCAGTGAGGAGGAGGAACGGGAAATGAGTAGCTCGGCATCCAACCTTGTGCAAATGGGGTCTTTCATGCTGTCGTGCCTGTTGAGGACCCTCGTATAAAAAGGCTGAAGGAGAACGACCTGTACTGGGTGTCCACGCTACTAGACCCCCGGTATAAGCAGAAAGTGGCGGAAATGTTACCGAATTACAACAAGTATGAAAGGATGCAGCATTTGCAAAATAAATTGAAAAGTATACTTTACACAGCGTATAAGGGTGATGTCACAGCACAACGGGAATCTAACAGGGGGAGAGGTGGAAATCATCCTCCTCCTCCCATGACCACGCCGGCAAGGACAGGACGCTTTAGAGACGTGTTGTTGATGGAGGACATGCGGACCTTTTTAAGTCCTACGCATCGCCACAGCCCTTCGGGATCCACCCTCAGAGAGCGACTCGACCGACAGGTAGCAGACTACCTCGCCTTAACTGCAGATGTCGACACTCTGAGGAGCGATGAACCCCTTGACTACTGGGTGTGCAGGCTTGACCTGTGGCCTGAGCTATCCCAATTTGCGATAGAACTTCTGGCCCGCCCCGCTTCAAGTGTCCTGTCAGAAAGGACCTTCAGTGCAGCAGGAGGTATTGTCACTGAGAAGAGAAGTCGCCTAGGTCAAAAAAGTCTAGATTACCTCACCTTTATTAAGATGAATGAGGGATGGATCCTGAAGGGACTGTCACTGGGCGATACATTCGATTAAAAAAGGCCTGATGAGATGAGCTGCCTTGGGCTAAAAATGGTCCACACGCTGCTGTATTTTAGCTCTGAATGCCGGTTGACTTGCGTGACTTATCCGCCACCAACTAGGGTTCAAGCAGCCATGTTTTAGGGCACTTTCTGCCTGTGAAACAAACATCAATTATAGATTGAATAGCAGTTAGTTGTCTCAAAGCGGGTGTGTCAGGCTCACAGTGGATACTGTGCCCAGTGCCACCACTCACTCACTGGTGTCACAATAGCTTGCATTTAAAAACAAAAAACTTTTTCACTGTTATAGATTGAATAGCAGTTAGTTATCTTCAAGCAGGTGTGTCAGCCCTACAGCGTGTACTCTGACAGTTTACAGTGCCACTCATATCTGGTGTCATAATAGCTTGCATTTAAAAACAAAATACTTTTTTCACTGTTATAGATTGAATAGCAGTTAGTTCTCTGCCAGCAGGTGTGTCAGGCTCACAGTGGATACTGTGCCCAGTGCCACCAATCACTCACTGGTACCCGGACGAAATTTATTTTCACAAAAGGCAATCCCCAACCTGTACTCGATTGTGCAAAAGGAAATAATGGCATGTCTGGCACACAGTGTTGGGGCAAAGGTCCATCTGACCACTGATACCTGGTCTGTAAAGCATGGTCAGGGCAGGTATATCACCTACACTGCGCATTGGGCAAACCTGCTGACGGCTGCCAAGCATGGAATACGTGGCTCTGCAGAGGAGTTGGTGACACCACCACAACTTGCAGGCAGGCCTGCTGCCACCTCCTCTACTCCTCCTACTCCATCCTCTTCCATAACCTCCTCGGCTTAGTCCTCTTCTGCTGCTGCGTCTTGCTCCACATCAGCGGATAGGGGGCGTAACAGTGATTAAACTGATAACAATAGTACTAAACACACCACTCCTATCTGGTGGCACATTAGATTGCACGCGCAGTGCCCCAAATTTGTTGTGATCTGTGAGTAAGGTAAACGGTTGTCCATACAAGTAAGGTTGCAGCTTTTTGAGGGCCCACACCACCGCCAGGCACTCCTTTTCAATGGCAGTGTATCTACTTCCCTGGGCAAAAGTTTCCGGCTTAGATAAGCCCGGGTTGCTCGCCGCCATCTGCTCCGACTTGGCTCAGTACTGCTCCCAATCCAAACATAGAAGCGTCTGTATGGACGAGAAAGCGTTTAGTTGGATCAGGAGCAGAAAGTACAGGTGATTTAATGAGCGCCGTCTTGAGCTGTTGGAAGGCCTGTTCACACTCTGGGGCCCATACTACTATCTTGGGGAGGTTTTTACACGTTCCTATATGGCACTTACTGGGCTTTAGGGTCAGTCCGGCCTCCCTAATCCGGTCTAGTACGGCTCCTATGTGGGTCAGGTGTTGGGGCCAGGAGCAGCTAAAAATAGCTATATCATCCAAGTAGGCGCAGGCATACTCCTGAAACCCATCCAGTAGCCGATCTACCATCCTCTGAAAGTTAGCCGGGGCATTCTTCATCCCGAATGGCATGACCTTAAACTGATACAGGCCAAACAAGGTGACAAATGCCGACTTGTGGATGGCGTCCTCGGCTAATGGAATTTGCCAGTACCCCTTGCACAGATCTATTGTGGTGAGGTACTGGCCTCTGGCCATTTTGTCTAGGAGCTCGTCTATCCGGGGCATAGGATAGGCGTCTGAGGTTGTTCACATGGAGCATGCACTTGCCTCCCGTGCCTGTGACCGCACCGATCACAAAGGTGGTATCACAAACCTGCTCTACCACCTTGTATGGGCCCTGCCAGGAAGTCTGCAGCTTGTCCTTGTGGACAGTGTCAATCCATATCTGCCAAGTGACCCTATGTAGGAGGAACAGTCCCTATTCTGCTCTGTGTCAGTGTGTATCAGGGATCCTTAGGACAGGTGTCAATCCATATCTGCCAAGTGACCCGATGTAGGAGGAACAGTCCCTATTCTGCTCTGTGTCAGTGTGTATCAGGGATCCTTAGGACATGTTTCAATCCATATCTGCCAAGTGACCCCATGTAGGAGGAACAGTCCCTATTCTGCTCTGTGTCAGTGTGTATCAGGGATCCTTAGGACATGTGTCAATCCACATCTGCCAAGTGACCCGATGTAGGAGGAACAGTCCCTATTCTGCTCTGTGTCAGTGTGTATCAGGGATCCCTAGGACAGGTGTCAATCCATATCTGCCAAGTGACCCTATGTAAAAAAGGCCTGATGAGATGAGCTGCCTTGCGCTAAAAATGGTCCACACGCTGCTGTATTTTAGCTCTGAATGCCGGTTGACTTGCGTGACTTATCCGCCACCAACTAGGGTTCAAGCCGCCATGTTTTTAGGGCACTTTCTGCCTGTGAAACAAACATCATTTTTTCTGGTCGCTGCTACAGCAGCGGCTGCAACAATACCGAATTTTTCAGGCATGTGTACATGCCTAATTTTTAGGCCCTCTGGTGCTGCACTGTGGCTTCAAAACTTTTTTCACTGTTATAGATTGAATAGCAGTTAGTTGTCTGCAAGCATCAGAAAGTCACCCCCTTGCCCGGCGTCTGACACCTGGCTTGTCTGAACTATTAGCCTGCCAGCTTTTACCATACAATCTGGTGGAGTCTGAGGTGTTCAAAAATTTTTTAGCTATTGGGACACTGCAGTGGAAGGTACCCGGCCAAAATTTCTTTGCACAAAAGGCAATCCCCAACCTGTACTCGACTGTGCAAAAGGAAGTAATGGCATGTCTGGCACACAGTGTTGGGGCAAGGGTCCATCTGGCCACTGATACCTGGTCTGCAAAGCAGTGGGTACTTTATAAATGGCTCCACCTGCCACCCGTACAGCAACACAGTCTCCAGTTAGGAGGACCGACCAAGCATCTTCTTCCATCTCCCTGTTACAGAAATTACTGCCGTGTACATGTCCACTGATAGGAGACGCGGAAGGTATTAAACTGATAAAACTAGTACTAAACACACCACTCCTATCTGGTGTCACATTAGCTTGACCGCGCAGTGCCCCAAATTTGCAGTAAGAGGACCGACCAAGCATCTTCTTCCATCTCCCTGTTACAGA